CTGGGCTCTGTCATGCTGCAGATCTTTGTGGACTATGGCAGGGTCAACACAGGTGAGTGTATGCAGAGGACACCCACTTCATCCCCAGTTCCAGAAAGCAGGCCCCATGTCCATCAGGCCAGGGGATGAAGCTCCAACTCCAAATGCTCATTGCCACCTCACTGACTCATTCCTGCACTTCCTCTCTGCCTCAGTTTCCTCATCTGTAAAATGGGGCTAATGATAGTAAAATAGAGTTGTAAAGATTAGAAAAAGCCTAATATATATTTAGAAGATAACAGGTATGAGCTTGTACTCTTCAAAAATAGTACAGACTAAATCACTGTGTATCTTAGAATAAGAAAATGTGGTCCGTAGACACAGGCACAAGTACTGAGTTAACCATTCAGGGAGCCAGCCCCAGGATGAATACAGCAGGGGCTTGTGGCATCTGTGAGCATGTCCTACACCACCCAGCCTCCCACAAGACAGGGAAGGTCAGCACTGTTGCAGAGGAACAGGCAAAGTTCAAAAGCAGGAGAGAGCAGTCCTGCACAGGGTGATCAGGGAAGGGTGGGATTTCTGCAGGTAGTGAGGGTAGGGAAGGCCATCCCAGGTGGAGGAAACCACCTGGACACAGCTAAGAGAATGGGAAGTGTGGGGAGTGAGTGGGTAGTATGTGAAGTTCCCACTCACCAGAAGATGTGGCTGGAAGACAGGACTGAGCCAGACCCTCAGGAAGAACATGGCCCCCAGTGCCTGGTGCACAGATCAGGGCCTGCCTCTCTCACAAAGAATCAGGCAGGCACTAAACCCAACCATGCTGCCAGAGCCCGAACTCTGTCCCCAGGGGTTGTCAGACCACAGTGTCATCTGTGTGGCATCATCTGCCTGTATGTCAAATGAAAGTGGAAAGCGAGGGGGAATCTTCTGCCTCAGGATCAAGCCATCTTTGCCTTTTGCTGGTACTTCCTGAGTTGCCCAAAGAGACCAGCAACTGAGCTCCTGATCCACCTGGGACAGTGCCAGGGACACCTGTCATTGTTTGACTGGAAACTATTCTGCCACTTTCTCCCTCCCTCCGTATAGTTTCTTTGCACAGAGAAACACAGTGGCAGGCTTTTAGATGTGTGTGGGAGAATTGCCAGGAGAAAGCTTCTCCTTGGGAGGCCAGGCAGCCCACACTGTCCATGGTTGTTTCCTCAGGCTCCTAAGGCTCATTGGGCCTCCTTTGGGAGGCAGTAGAGATCAGTGGTTAAAAGTGCAGGTTTGGGCACCAGGAAGACATAGGCTTGAAATTCATCAATGAAATGGCCCTTGCTGGCCTTCACCTTGGACAAGGGACTTAACTCCTCAGATCCCCGGTTCTCTGATTGGTTAGGGGTAGGTAGATGTAATTCCTGCCTCGAAGACTTCCTCGGAGAACCTGGTGGGGCAATGGATGTAAAGCGTGTGGTCTAGGTTGGGCCCATGGTAAGCCCTTGGGGAGTCTGCTCCCTTCGTCATTATTCCTGCCAAGGGCTGGGAATAAAATAAGGTGACGTGAAGGTACTGCCCCCTTTCAGCCTGGGGATTTTCTGATGCTCTGCTTCATGTGCAGTGGCCTCGGTTCTCTGGGAAGACCGGAATGGCCTGGAGAGGAATGTTGTCGTGACTAAGGTTCTAGCTCATGGCTTGCCTCTTCTCCATCATGGGAACAAAGTCAGTAAGGCTCCCCCTGACCGGGGGTTCTATTTCCAGTAAGGTGAGATCATGCATTCATTCAACGAACATCTGTATCTTTTGTTTTCTCTTCAGCCACAGTTAACTTGAGCCCGGGTGATCCCCGATGGATTGGAGCCTGGTGGCTAGGCCTGCTCATTTCTTCAGCCTTCTTGGTTCTCACCTCTTTCCCCTTTTTTTTCTTTCCTCGAACAATGTCCAGAGGGGTGGAGGTAAGATTCTGAAAGCCTATGACTCTACTTATAGTAATTTAAGAAAGGGAAGTGGGGGTAGAAAATAAACAGAGCTGAGAAGTTGCAGCAGGTTAAGCAAATTCTGGGTGAAATCTAAACAAGTTTCATGATGTAGGGCTTCTCGGAGGCTTTGAGAGGTGAGGATGCTGATGAATTTCCAAAAGATGGTGTCTCCTCAGTGTTCCCTTACCACATTAGCATCTCAAGGATCAGGATGGTCAGGGAACGTATTTTGGGAAATGCTGAGTTCATCTAAATTGGGCTAAAGGGTTAAGAGCCAGTCAAAGCTGAGTACGTGACCAGTGCAGTTGATTTTTGCATTAAATAGGGCCTGTTGATGTCTGAACCTGAAGGACTGAGTGAGAAGTAGATTCCTAGCACTGAAGAGTGGGAGGGAGGTCTGAGAGTCGAGCAGGGTGACCTTCCATGCATCTTCCAGTCATGTCTGGTGGGGAAAGGAGTCAGGAAAAGACAAGAATGGAAAATAGGGAAGACAAGTCTGGGTGGGGTCCTTGATGGTAGGCTGATGGGTCTAAAACTTGTTCTAATCCCAGGGAGCTCTGAGGCTCTGCAGTGACTGGGTGGCCAGTTGGGTGGCAACATGGCAGCTAGGCTGAGGTTGGGGACAGCAAAGAGTGAAGGTTGGGATCTGACGAGGCTGGTGCAGAGGCCTGGTGAGCAACGGGGAATGCAGCTGCCCAGGGCCATGGCTGCTGGAGAGCTGGGACAGGGCAAGGACGGACGTTCCCGGAGGGGTGTGGCAAAGGACTCAGCAGGGAGCTGGATTGGAGCAGAAGAAGGAGATCAAGTTCGTACCAAGGCTTTGAGCCAGAAATAGAGCTTGGTGTCTGGCAGTGAGGTGTATGAAATCTCAGCCCAGCTGTGGGAAGAGGAGCAGGGGGAGAAGGACCTCAGCTCATCTTGGGAAGCATGTCAGAGGTTGGCAGCACATCATGGTGGTTTGGGGGTCAGGCAGACTTGGTTTGACTGCAGTTCTGCTACTTATAAACTAGCTGAGTGAGCTTAGGCCAGTTGCTTTGTTCCTACACTTCCTCCTCAAAATCCTTGAGATAATTAGAGAGCTGCTGGGAAGGAGGCTGGAGGAAGGAGACAGTGCTGGCACGGTGCCCAGCATGGAGCAAGCGCTGCATAAATGGGAGCACCTGATCCCATTGATGAGTTCCCTAGAAGATCCTGACATGTCAGAGCGCAGGGGCCTTGCATGTGTGTGGCGGTTCAGAGCTGGGGCCCTAGGCCGGAGCTGACAGTTGAGAAGAGGTAGGCAAGTTCACTGAGACAGTATGCCCAGGAAGTGCAGGCAAAGAGCTAGGACAGAGCCTAGAGCAGGACTCACCTGTGGGCCCAGAAGGAAGCAGGGACCCCAGAGAGGAGACAGAAAGGGAGAGCTGGCAACAGGGCATTCTTGACCAGAGTGTCCCAGAATCGAGCAGCCCTGGAATCCGAGGGTGGGGAGAAGTGTAGCTATGACAGATAGAGAAGGGGCAGGATCCAGGAAGACACCTTTGGCATTGGACATGGGAAAGTTAGATATGAAGTAATACGCCCATAGGTATGGTGGGCGGCATTGGCACAGATGCATTCTGGTCATCCGCCAAGGCACCAGCTCACTGAAATGCGGATTGTGTTTGCTTCAAGAGCACATTCTCTGGATGCCCTCCCATACACTCACACCTGGGGGTCTCATAGCTTCCCAGCCCTGAGCACTGAGACCCTGGGGCCAAGGGCCCTGGGAAGGGTGGCTGCAGCAAGCCAGTGCCATTAACACTCACCCCCTTTGCTGCCTTCAGCAGTCTCCTGCCGTGGTGGACGAAGCAAGGAAGATGGAAGAGGCCAAGCCGAGAGGCTCCCTGGTGCATTTCATTAAACGTAACTGACCCGGCAGCCCTGGGTGGGCTGGTTTAGGGTGAGGGGTGGTCGGGGGGCCCCAGCCCATGCGTGTGTGTGGTAAGGGACAAGAAGAGCAGGTGTTCTGTAACCAGCTCATCTCCTAGGTATGCATGCAGCTCAGGAGGAGTTCTGCCAGGGATCCTGGTGCCTGCTTCTTTGCAGGTACCAGGAGACCCCAGTTCAGGCAGAGTCAGCCTGCACTCCATGGTCTGGCCCCATGTTCTTCTGTGTCCTCCCTTCATGTGGAGGTGGTGCTCACACGAGAGACTGTTGCCAGTGTTGGTCCTATTTCTATCAGCCTGCCACCTGGTTTCTTTTAGGCACATCTCATTTTATTTAGTCCCTGGGCATGTTGAGTGGGAGTCTGAGTAGCTACATGCTCCTAAACTGGCCACTAAACATCTTGGTGCTTCAGGTTCTGCCCCAAGAAGAGAGGGGCTGCCTGGAAGGAGGCGGCAGGGCAGTGGCCGGTCTCGAGGTTCCCTGTGATGGCTGCCCAAGGGCCTGGCCCCTGATGGAGGTCTGTTTGCAGGGTTTCCCCGCATCTTCCTGAGGCTCCTGATGAACCCGCTCTTCATGCTGGTGGTCCTGGCCCAGTGCACCTTCTCCTCTGTCATTGCTGGCCTCTCCACATTCCTCAACAAGTTCCTGGAGAAGCAGTATGGCGCCTCAGCATCCTATGCCAACTTCCTCATCGGTGAGACCAGCGGGCACTGCAGGAGCAGGGCGTCTCTGCTCGAGGGAGGGGCTGGGCGTCTGGCCACCCATCCGGGGACAGGCAAAGGCCAGACAGGATGCAGACAGGAGCCAGAGGAGGACTTGCCGAGGAGAAAGAATTTTAAGGACATTTTTCCTGGTTGGCAACCTAGAATGTTCTTGGCAGATTTCTGGGACTCCTATCATTCCAGTCAGGACTGGGTGGAGACGGGGGTCTGCCTTCCTTTCCATCAAGGGGCTGAGAGTCTGACAGCCTCCCAAATGCCCTGACATCAGCAGGGTCAACAGGAAAGAGGGAGGATCGAATTGGGGATTAGACAAAATGCCTCCTGGGTCTTTTTCCTTCTCCAGGGACTTGAATCCGTTTGCTTTGGTGAGAGTATGTGGCCCAGGGATTCTCAACCCTGGCTGCACTTTAGGCTCCTCTGGAGAGCTTCACAAAATACAGATGCTCAGCCCTACCCTAGATGGATGGAACCAGAACCGCTGGAGGTGGGGCCCAGCGTCAGTGTTTTCTACAGCTGAGGTTGAGAACCACTGATGTGGTTCCACCAAGTACCCACAGGAATTATTGGGCCCAACCCCCAAGTGAGCTTGACCATATGGATTTGGCAAGGTGGTCAGGGCATGAGATTTGAGGGTGACTCCCTGTACCCCCCGACCTCCTCCTGTGTGGCCCTTGACTGTGACATCACCCCTCTGGCCTTGAGCGTCTGACTAGTAACTCAGGGTCACCACCCTTGCCTTGCTAACCCCATTGGTCACAGTAAGGATGCATCAAGGGCCCAGATAATGAAAGATGCTTAATAAATGCACATTCAACCCACATCCCTTGGGTGGCTAGGGCCCCACTTTATTCTTTGCACAGGCAGGGCAATCCTCTATGTCAAGATAATGCTCTAGATGTGCTGGCAAACAGTAAGTGGTCAACTAATGCCAGCTGTTACTATTCTAGTTTAACATATCAAAAGTTCCGTCGTGAGGCTGCACCCCCTTCTCGGTGGTCTGACTAGGTGTCTGCAGTTCACACACAGTCAGGCCTGCGCACCCACAGCAGCCTCTTCCCTCCGTCTGCAGGTGCTGTAAACCTCCCCGCTGCGGCCCTGGGGATGCTATTTGGAGGGATCCTCATGAAGCGTTTTGTTTTCTCTCTGCAAACCATCCCACGTGTGGCTGCCACCATCATTACCATCTCCACCATCCTCTGTACCCCTCTCTTCTTCATGGGATGCTCCACCCCAGCCGTGGCTGAGGTCTACCCTCCCAGGTAAGGGGAATAAAGGGTGCAGAGATACCCTTTGCTAAGGCCAGAGCCTGGATCTGGCTGCTATACCTCTTCCTTCCTGCCTCCAGCACTTGCTTCTCCCCTGTTCACTTTTGATCTGATCTCTCACATGGCAACTTAGAAAATCAGGTCTTGAGTAGTATGTTCCTTTATGAGAAGAGATCAAAGGGTCCTAGTGGGCCACTAGCAATCAGAGTTAGGGTTCTGTTTTTTAGGAAGCAGCAAAAACTAATTAGTTTGGTATGAGGATGACTCTGTAGGACTGTGAGCCACAAAAACTGAGAAATGAGCTATGGTTAGCATCAGCTCTGTGTGGGCTAGAATTGCAGAGCATTCACTGAGCTACTGGAGAGAGAGATGAGAGAAGACTTGAAAGATCTGGAGAAGATCAATGAAAGTGATGGCAGACTTGGAAAATTAGAGCAGGTGAGGAGGAGGGCAGGTAGAACATACCTGTCCGTTTGCATGAAGCAATATGAGTCGTGCATTTTAAGTCCAGCTTCACGTTCAGAAATGGCTTTAGAGCCCTGTGACGTGAAGGATGCTGAGCAACGAGCACACTCATTGTTTCCTGGGTGCCACCACTCAACGACCTTTTCTTTTAGACTTTGCCTCATGAGATTGCAACATCTGGAGACACTGTGCCTTTCAGCCTGTTTTTTTTTTTTCCTCTTTCTCTTTGAAATAATCTCCTCTGTCTTTGGTGGGTGAAGGAGAGAAGGGGTATGAGGAAAGGGAGGGTCGCCCAGGGCAGGACAGTCACCCTGGTGTGTATGCTCTTCTGTAGGCTATGGATTGTGAGAAGCCGAGAAGGCTTGGGGCCGTTTGGTGGCTTTCACTGGGAGTTTAGCACACCACTTTGTCATCACACAGGCCTGGATTCTAGTCTTGTTGCTCTTTACTCATTGGGGGAAGTTACTTGTCTGAGCTTCTGTTTTCTCATCCACAAAAGGCAAACAATTAATTGTAGACTTACCATGATGACCGTGCATGAGAAGTTCCTGGGCACAGTGGCACACAGAGATGCCCCATAAATGTTAACTGTCACTAATGTAATTATTTCAGTGAAGCTCTGTGCTGTGGCTTGTCAGCCCCTATCCCAGCCCTCCCCAACGAAGATCATGAATATCAGATGGGGGGCTGGGGGGACAGTAAGATCAGCCAGTGAAATCCCCTTGGTTGAAGCTCAGGGGGTGCAGAGTGACCTGGGCAATGTCCTCATTGCCCCAGGAGACAGGCAGCCAACCAGAGCCTGGATTGCCTCAAGAGGTCCCGGCCACTGCCTCCAGCCTGAGCCCAGCGGGAGGAGGAGGGACGGTTGCCTGTGACTTCCCCCTTGCATCTGCCATTTCTGTCATCAGGGACCCGGTTGGTTGATTGTCTTGACTCCTGCTATGGCAAGGGGTTTGCTGACCAGGCCTTTCCAACTGAGTAATTGGTGGGTTTGGGCTAAGCCGCAGAAGAAACGGAGAGGTGTTGTGACCATTGAACAGTGGCAAATTCACCGTTGGCTCCAGTAGGTATAATTCAGATCCAGGTTGGCAATGACCCAAGACAAATAGAGACGCACAGGCTCATTAACCAGGCCAGGAATTTGCACGGCTGGAGTATAGAGTTTTTTCTTTGGTCCTACTTTGTTTGATTCCTTGTTTCCTGTTTTGCTGACAGCACATCCAGTTCTACACATCCGCAGCCGCCTGCCTGCCGCAGGGACTGCTCGTGCCCGGATTCTATCTTCCACCCGGTCTGCGGAGACAATGGAGTAGAGTACCTCTCCCCTTGCCACGCAGGCTGCAGCGACATTAACGTGAGCTCTGCAGGCACCAAGCAAACGGTAGGGGCTCAGTGTGTCCCTTCGAAGACTGCTCGCCGGCACCAGGATGGGCAGGGCTTCATGCACTCTCATTACCAGCATCCTGGCCTCCTCTGGGCCGCACCCAGCCTCTCTCCACCTCCCCTTCCCTGATGTCATGACCAGATGTCTACAGCCTAGAGTCAATCAAACATTGGCCAATGTCCAACAAATTCACATTCTTGAGGCCTAACAATGCTCAGAGCAGAAACAAGTCAAAGCACTCCATCAGCTGAGTCCTTCGAGCCTAATCCTGACGGATACTAATGGGCATCTCTGAGCCCTGCATCCTGGCCATGTTGCAAAGCCATATGCCCTGGCCCAGATATATCAAGCAGAGAGGGCCTCTGTGACATGAGCCTGGAAGGTTAGGGCTGGAAGTGGTAGTCGAGGGCATTTGAGTCAACCCCTCAGCTCCTAGGAACAGCCACATGACTGGCCTGAAGTCATGCAGCTATTTAGGGGCAGATCTGGGACCAGAATCCAGAGCCCTGCCTTAGCCTGGGGCACTTCTGTTCAAGGCCATGTGTCTTCTGGCCACCAGCCTTCCACTGAGGCAGCCCACATTCACTGTGGCAAGGTCCTATCCATCCCTCTATGAGTGCGACTGTCTAGGATCAGCCAGCAGCAAACCAACTCATTTGTCCAGTTATTGAACAAAGTAAACACTGGCACAGCCACAGGTGCTGAGGACATGGTGGTGAACCTATCAGACAAGGTCTCTGCTCTCATGGAGTTTGCATACTATCAAATACATGCTCAAGATAGTTTTAAAAAGTTAACCATGCCATGGAGAGATTTAATGGGACAGAGAGTGCCTGGGGCTTCCCTGAGGAGGTGACATTAGAACTGAACAGCTAGAAGAACAGAACCTGGGAGCAAAGAATTCCAGACAAAGGGACCAGCAAATGCAAGCCTCCAGGGCATGAATGTACTGGGCATGCTACAAGAGGAGAGACAAGGCTAGTGTTGGCACTAAGTGAAGAGCGTCACCCTGCTGGGCCAGGGACCAGGCAGGCGCCAGAGCCAGCTTGGCCAGAGCCAGCCAGGCCAGGCTTCGGAGTCAAATGTTCTTTTCCCTGGGAGCAATGGGAAGTCTATGCATGTACCATAAGGGTGCCCCGAGGAGTGAATGTGCCTTATTCCCTTAAACCTGTGTGGAGGGCACGGACAACGCCAGCCCCCGGTGGCCGCCCCTCTCTGTGAGGACAGGGCAAGGCTGCATCTCAGCCACCTTGTGGGTGGACAGAGGAGTGTGGCTGTCAGGCAAAGGGAGGGCGAGGAGCTAGGACAAGATGCTCTCTTCGTTGCCTTCCGGTTGGAAGAGTTTGTGGTGGCTTCTGTGGTTTTCTTATCTTTATTTACTCACCTCTGACTCATATACTTCCAGAAATAATCTTGACAAGTTTCCAATAACAACACAAGTACATCAAAATAAAAATCCATTAGCATAATATCAAGGAAAAAAATAGCAAATTATAAGGAAAAAATCTACACCTAAAAAATCCAGACTGAGGGAGGTAAGAGCAATATTGTATATAACTTATTTCTGAGCTTCTTAGGAGCCAAGGTAAAGAGGGTGCATAGTTCTCACCGTCTGGTAGAAGGAAGCATATGAGCTCATTAGTTCTAAATATCTGCTAAGACACTTAAATGGTCAGAGACTGGACCATCAGATACTGCAGAAAGAAGGCAAAGACCACCAGACACAAGGAGTGGCTGACAAAGTGAGTTGTCCAACAGTACTGAGCCACATGGACCTGCAGACTTGAGACAGGGTCCTCCTTCTCTACAGTCCTTTATAGACAGAAGAAATTCCTCTCAGGCAGGAAGCTCCAGAAAAGGCCTGACAGATGCAGAGTTCAGGGGATTCCATTGAGTTCCCACCGTTCTCCTCTTATTTGTACCTTCCCCTACAATCAACAATGAACAGCAAAAACAACCCGCAAAACCACTGCTGCTGGGCTTGGGGGACATGGCCCAGAGAAGAGCCTTCCCAGGCCCCTGGCTCCAAACTGGGTGGACCTTGCCTGGTAGTGGGATCCTGGGTACACAGATGCAGATGTGACTGCTGGAGGAGCCCTGCCCATGCTGGATAGCTGGTTTTGGTGAAGACGGTTTCTGTTACCCAAACAGTGATAGAGGCAGGACCCCTGGGACAGCTCGAAACCATCTGCTGGTCTCTGCAGCCTCACTCAGCTTCTCTGGAGACCTGGAGGGCAGAGGGATTGACACTTGAGGGACTCGGGCAAGAGCTGATGCAGACATATGAAGTGTGTGGAGGTGAAATAATAATGGTAGATTTCCCCCTTTTCACTCCCTTTCCTCTTCTAGACCTATTTGAACTGCAGCTGTGTGACTGGCGGATCTGCATCAGCCAAGTCGGGGTCATGCCCCATGCCCTGCGCCCACTTCCTGCTCCCGGCCACCTTCCTTATCTCCTTTGCAGCCCTGGTAGCCTGCATTTCTCACAACCCCCTCTACATGATGGTTCTGCGGTGAGTGGTGCCTCTCAGGGTCCAGGGGCTCAGCTCCTCCTTCCCCGCTTTCCCTTTGACTTGACGACCAGTCGCCCACTCTCATCTCTCCTCCCTTTTCTGGCCCTCAGAGTCCTTTCGCAATGTGCAAGTTTCAGTAATGCAGGAAAATAATACTGATGGCAGCAGGCTCTGTGCTGGGGTCCTCATTGCATGGGCCCATTCAGTCCCACAGCCTCACGTGACGCAGGCCCTGCCAGCACCTCTGTCCTGCACCTGGCGGGTTAGATCACCAATCCAGGATGCAGAGCCAGAATGGCTGAGCCACCTGTCAAAGCCAGGCTGCCTGGCTCCACGTTGTGGAAATGCCTGGAGGTTGATTGTTAAAGCCTAAAAGAACTAAGAGGAGGAAAGAGAACTCAGCTGGATGCATAAAGTAAAGGGAGGAAGATGAGGAAAGTTCCAGAGACAGAGAGATGGCTATAGAGAAGGATGAAGTCCCAGTGTGCTAGGAGCCAGGAGCACGTCCTCAGGTCTGGAGGAGAGGCTGGCCAGACTAGGAGTGGCGAGGTGGCCAAGCACGGCTGGCGCTGAAGTGCCCCTGGGCTTTTTACAGGGAATGACCCTCCCTTCACCTCACTCTCCGAAAGGGGAAAACATTTCAACCAAGTTCACCTAATCTACCCACTGCCCATCTCACTGTTCCCTGCCCTCTGTCCTCACCCACCTCACAAGCAGAGAGGGGATAACACAGGATTTGGATTCCTGGTGCAGGTTCAAAGCCCCCACTTTGCCACATACTGTCTGAATGTCCTCAGGTGTTGCCTAATGTCACCGAGCCTCAGTTTCCTTATGTATGAAACGGAGATAATGATGTCTACCTCAAAGGGTTGGTGTCAGCATTGTACGGTAAATTGCTTTGTATACATATTGGTTAATTATGGCTAATATTGGTTAATCATGACTTATTGGTTAACAAGTTATATTGGTTGATTATGACTGTTAACCAAATAATACTAATGATTATTAACAGCTAGTGAGTGCCCATGACCTGTTTTCCCAAGAGGGCTAGTTGATGAGTGGGGAGCAGAAGCAGCCTTTTGTTGGGATCTGGGATGTCACCCTATTTAAAAGTTAGCGGTCAGGTTAGCTTGCAAGCTTCCAAGGCACAGTTGCTGTTGCTGTTTCAGTGATGCTGGCAGAGGGCACAAGACCCCTGGGTCAAAGACGGAGGGCTTAGTTCCTCATGCCATAGCATGCAGCATGACTTTGACTCACTGCTGGGTGCATCCACCCTGAGAAATGGCCCAGGAAAAGAGCAGTCAGGACGCTGCATTCTTAGCACACCCAGCAAGAACGTGTGGGGATGCTCAGTGCCCGTGGCATGTGGCCTGCCCCAACATCATTGTCCCCTTCTTCTTTACTCTCCCCATCCTGTGCATATTCCAGTCCTGACACTTTCACCTGAGGCCCTGGAGTAGGTTCCTTTCTTACATACAGGGTCAGGTGGACCACGGTGGACCCACTAACCCTGAGATAAATCTGCATGGGGCCATGAGAGGAGAGGGGACAGGGTAATCTCATGGGGAAGTCCCTGAGAAGCAGAGAGAGAGGGCCAGTCTCTGTCAAATCCCCTCCCTGGGCCGGCCCGGTGGCGCACTGCTACAGTGCGCCGCTTGGGAGCACGGCGGCGCTCCCGCTGAGGGTTTGGATCCCACATACAGACCGGCCGCTCACTGGCTGAGCGAGGTGCGGGCGCAACACCGAGGGTTGCGATCCCATTGCCGGTCCCGGTCCGGTACGGGCGCGACACTGAGGGTTGCGATCCGTTGCCGGTCACGAAAAAAGACAAAAAGGGAAAAAAAAAAAAAAAAATCCCCTCCCTGAGGACTGTCAACTTCAGGGATGGGGAAGTCATTTCAACCACAGGATGGTTTTGACTAGAAAACTTCTTTCCAAGTCTGGTCAGGGGCTGAGGTGAAAATGCAGAGAAGGCCCCAGGACCCCAAAATTGTTTAAAGATAAATTCCACTGGGAAAGATGACAGAATGGATGCTGTTTAGTGTGAAGAAGGAGAGGCTTCAAGATGACTTTGTAGGTGACCCAAGCACTATTTGTATCAGCCCTGGCCTCCAACTAAGCATGGGAATACAGGCTGGGAGTGAAGGTTAGCCAAAAACATGGAAGGAGAGAGAGGGGTCAGGAAGCCAGCATTAATTCAGGGCCAAATGGGGCAGAGACCAGAGGGGCCCTAGGTCTCAATCAAAAGCCAGATTGGTGGGCCGGCCCTGTGGCTCACTCGGGAGACTGTGGCACTGGTAGCACCGAGGCCGTGGGTTCGGATCCTATATAGGGATGTCCAGTGCGCTCACTGGCTGAGCGTGGTGCAGACAACACCGTGCCGAGGATTGCAATCCCCTTACCGGTCAAAAAGAAAAAAAAAAGAAAGCGAGATTGGGGTGCCCAAGTCCCCTGCCTAACCCCAGTGACTATTTCTCTCACCGGGCCAAGCCTCAGGGGAGCTGGAGGAAGGTCCCTTTCCAGTGTGCTAGCAGAACCGTGGTGGTGTGTGAAACAACCTGTGCGCGGAGGTCTGGGATTACTTCCGAGTTCCCCCTTACTGTCCCCTCAACCCCAATGCTTGTCCCTGACAAGCACCCACCTGGCAGTGTGTGTGCTCAGAGTACAGAGAAAGCTGGAGTCAAGTCCCTCAGCAGGTGCCTCTGCTGGCCAGCTCCTGGCTCCTCACCCCACTCTGCTGCACTCCCCAGCCAGGATGACAGGGCCACTCCCCCAACACCCAACCTCTTTCTGCAGCCAAACACATTTCTCCCTCTTGATGGAAAAAGGGTAGGGGCAGGACCAGCTACATAATTTGCAAGAACCAGTGCAAATGAAAATGTAAAGCCCCTGGCTCAAAAATGACAGATGCTCAACTTACAATGAGGTTACATCTAGGTAAACCCGTCATAAGTTGAACATATCATAAGCTGAAAATATATTTAATACATCTAACCCAGAGAACATCATACCTTAGCCTAGTCTACCTTAAGAGTGCTCACATTAACCTACAGGTGGGCAAAATCATATAACACAAAACCTATTTTATAATAAAGTGTTGAATATCCCATGTAATGTATTGAATACTGTACCAAAAGTGAAAAACAGAATGGCTTCACACCATCATAAAATCAAAAAATCAAGTCAAACCATTATAAGTCAGGGATCATTTGTATAAAGTTCCAGACAGCTCCAGCAAAGCATTAAACCAAGCACGGGGCCTTTCTGGGCGTACGGCCTTGTGCAGCTGTGCAGGTCTGACACCCACAGAGCTAGCCCAGGGTAGGGAATTCTTTTAGCTGTGTGCAGAAGCCTGCAGCCAAGGGGCCCTAATTACACTTTGTACCAGGACTGTCTTTTACTGGTATAAGACACTCTATGGGAGCTGTTCGGACCTGCTGCTATAAAAACCCCCACCACATCCTTCCGTCTGCTGCCAGCCTCTTCTGCCCTCCGCCTTTTGAAGGGGGCTCGGGAGCTGTTCAGACCTGCTGCTATAAAAACCCCCACCACATCCTTCCGTCTGCTGCCAGCCTCTTCTGCCCTCCGCCTCTTGAAGGGGGCTCTGGGCAGCCCTGAAAATCACATAGACCAGTGGTGGGGTCGCAGATCACTGGGCCCCACCCCCAGAGCTTCTGACCCAGTAGGTCTGGGCTGGGGCCTGAGAATCTGCATTTTGAACAAGTTCCCAGGGGATGCTGATGCTGTGAATCCTGGGATCATTCCTGAGAACCCCTGACATAAACAAGAGCACTGAGCCAGGTGAATCCAGTCAGCCAGGTGGCTGGTCAGGTCAGGTGCAGGCAAGTTCTGGCTGGCTAAGGCGCCTGCCCCTGACTGAGGGACAGGGCAGCCCCAAATCCTGTTGATTCCTGTTTTCCTTTTCAGTGTGGTGAACCAGGAAGAAAAGTCATTTGCCATTGGGGTACAGTTCTTACTGATGCGCTTGCTGGGTAAGTGTCTAAGAGCCCCGCCCTTCCCAAAAAGTGGCCCAGGCTATAAGGCATTGAGATTCACAGGGTACAGGCGAGGGATGTGGTGATCTCCATCTTATCTCCATGGTAAAGAGAAGCTGTGCATAACCGACAGCAGGTGCCAAAACCCATGGGATGGTTTCCCTGATTGCTTGAAGTTAGGAAAGATTCCATCTATGGCATTAATTCCAAAATAAATTATATAATAAAAATGAAAAGTGGATACAGCTGAGAATACCTAGCTGAGAGTTAAAGGCAGGAATTTCTTAATCTTTCTCCAAGAACTCTCTGTAGAAACAAAACCTTGCATTCCTGCCCCAGCCAGGACAGCAGCTGAGCCTAGCCCTGGCTTCCTTCCTGTTTTATAAAATTCACTCCTCCAACCACTATTCAGCAAATGTGTCTTCTGAGTGGGGCCCTCTGTTGGCCAACCCTGCCTGCCTGCAAGCAGCCCACAGCCCCCCAGAGGAACTGAGCTGTGCACCAAATGATCAGCAGCACCCAACAGGGAGGGAACATGTGGCTCTCCCTGGGTGCGTGGACTGCATGGTGGGGGCACATTGCAGGCCCTTTCCCGGACTGCTCATGCTGAGCTGTCCCTTCTTGACACATCCATGCACTGGATTTAATACAAGGCACTGATACAGAGAACCTTGCAATGACAGGTAAACAGAAGTAAAGAGACTGAATTCAACTGAGGATGTATTTAAGGACCTAGTGGGTGTGAACTGCAGTGCAGAATATGGAGATTCCAGTGAGAGGGACTTCAGTTGCTATCAAGGTGTACTTCTGACCTTCTGGCGTCATTACCCATGGGCCGGGTCCACACCTCCCCCGACAGCAGCTTTTACTACCACTTGCTCCTCTAGTCCCCATGGAGCCCATTTGGGCCTTTCTCTTCCTGTCTGTTTTATAAACACAGAGGATGCAGGGCAGTGGGCCCCACCTGTCCACCTGGCAGAGGCTATGTTGTCATCTTCGCTCCTCATTTTCATTAATAACTTGTCATTTGTAACTTACTCTAAAACCTCTGCTGGGAAGGAAATCCTGCATTCCTCCCAGCCCAACCAGCAGCTGGGACAGGCTCCGAGGAGCCCTGCCCTGCTCCCTCCAGCAACCTTGAAAATGAGGATTCTTTCCCACTGCTCAAAGCACTTGCTGCTTTTGTTTTTCCATTTGAGCTCAGCTAACTCGATGTGGGACCATAGTTAAGACAACCCAGGCCTGGTGGGATTTCATGCATCACACAAGAACACAATTCCACTCTGGGGTAGAAACAAGGACTTCACATTTATAAACTCCAGCAGGTTTAAAATTAATGCATTGGGATTTGATTGATAACTTCTGGACTTCATTTCTACAGAGGGAAGTGTCATAGGAGGTCAATCTGTCTGGCCGGCTTTTATTCACCGTTCACCTGGAGACTTGGGAGTGAGCAGGGTCTGAATAGAGAGGCTGCTTCTTGAAGTTTCCGCTTACGGGTGGGGCCACAGGCAGAATATGATCTCTTTCTTTCCTCTGGAAGCAGCCTCTCACAGGGCCCTAAACAAAGTCTGAGTGGCTGTTCTCAGCATGGTGGTTCTGAGAACGGGACGGCTGGCCCAGCCTGGCTGTAAATCCTGGACAAGCCCCTCCTCGGTCCAGTGACTGCCTAGAACTATAGCTAACGATCCAAAGCTGGGGAACATCCAGAATATTTAACAGCCAGTAGAGTGTAACCCCTGCTGGGCCCAGACTTACCTCTCAGCTTCTGGGAAGTTCAGGGGGCCTGGAGCAGAGGCTCTGAGCAGCCAGGATGTTAGGAGATCTTCTGGGGGTGTTGCCTAATCCAATACGGCATTTTGGTGTCAAGGAAGAACATGTGATTTGAACCTCATTAAATCGAGGGTTCAAAGTTCAGCCCTGGCCCCTCCAGGCTACATAATGGTGAGCTAGCCAAGCTCACTTTCCTCCTGATTAAAATAAGGGCACCCACACCTCTGGGCCAGTGTAAGTACTTGAGAAGTCTATGCCCTCGAGAGGCTTCTGCCACACAGCAGAGGTGAGTATATCACCACTTGGGGCCAATCTAAAGTATACGGACAAGTAAAAACCATGTCGTATGTCTGAGCTGGCATCAAGTTCACCCCCGTGACTCATTCTTCCCTGAAAGGATGGCCCAGGTCCCTTTTCTCTTCTAAGCCTTCTGATGAAAGAGAAATGCAGGCTTCACTGAAAGCTATTCTGCTTTCCAAAGTCTTTGTGATTCCCAAGGGTGGGGCAGAGCCATTCTCATATGTGAACTGTGCAGGTTCGCTGGGGGGCTTGGCTCTCCACCCCAGCCGGGCACCTCTGCCTGCAGCTCCACGTGACCTGGGCTCTCTGAACTCTTTTTTCCGTTGATGCCAGCCTGGCTGCCATCTCCAGCCTTCTACGGCCTCACCATCGACTACTCCTGCATCCGGTGGAACTTGCAGTGCTTGGGGAGGCGAGGAGCTTGCACCTACTACGACAGTGACACTCTCCGAGACACCCGGTGATGCCAGCCTGGCTGCCATCTCCAGCCTTCTACGGCCTCACCATTGACTACTCCTGCATCCGGTGGAGCTTGCAGTGCTTGGGGAGGCGAGGAGCTTGCACCTACTACGACAGTGACACTCTCCGAGACAGGTGAGGGACCAGCATATACGTGTGTCATGGAGGCCATGTCCAGGTCCCTAGCAAAGAGTGGTCATCTTCACGATGGTTCATGTGAGGACTATCAGGCTTCCCAAGGAGAGGACTCTAGGTGCTGTCTCTGCAGGCCCTGCCATGGACAGGGAGCAGGGGCCACCATGACAGGCATTTCAGGGCTCACAGGGAGCCATCCAGGTAATAAGACCCAGAGCCACACTGGGTGTGCTGTCCCTGCAGGCCTGAGTCTAAGGGAGAAGCCGTGGCTGTGGGATGATGTCAGAGAGGGGGCTCCAGTGTGGCTCCTGGCAGAGGTCCAGGGCTGGGGGGCGGGCAACCTGCACCACTGAGCTCTGCCCCCTCCCAGCCACCTCACCTGCTGCATCACCACATGGACCAGAAACTGTGGGGAAGGTGGGCCTGAGGGGCTGGACGGGGGCTCTGGTGGGCCAGAGAAGGCCGGGAGAAGGGTGGCCCAAGAGGCAGTGAGAAGATGCCCCTCTCCTCTGGCTCTGCTGGAGGACAGGACCCTCGGGACTGGCTGGGGCGCCAGCAGAGGGATGAGGATCGCTGTGTGAGGAGTCCCGCGCCTGCTCCCTGTACACTTTCTGGGAGATTATACCCTTTGGGGTCAAAGAAATGAGGAAAGTGATCCCCACCTGGTGGTGACACATCCTTGCCTGGTGGTCCTGGTCCCAGGACATGGGCTGCATGCAGGGCCCCCTCCCTCACCGGTCCTGTCTCCTCCTGCCCGCAGCTACCTGGGCCTGCAGGTGGGCTACAAGGTGCTGGGCGTGCTGCTGCTCTTCCTCATCAGCTGGAGGGTGAAGAAGAACAAGGAGTACGACGTGCAAGAGAAGGCTGCCGGCCTCATCTGACCCCGGTCTCATCTGACCCCGGCCAGCGCCGCCTGCTCCACGCCTGCCTGTGCCCACTCATGCCAACACCTCGGTTCCTATTGGCTTTTGAATATGAAAGATAACCCCAGTCACCATTTACCTTCCCTTCCTCCCTCTTGTAAAATCCCCACATGGTTCCCAAGGGCCACCCTGCCCGTGGGTTGATGGGCCGGAGCTGGAGGGCTGGGTCTTTCTGGCCCCTTGGAAGGATCCTCCACCTGCCCAGGCTCTCCTCAGTGCTGGTCCCCAACTAAGGCAGTCCCTGCCCTTCACCAGCCCTGGGGGGCAGGAGGTCCTAAATAGAGAGAGGAAAAGGGTCTCTGCTCTCCTTACCAGGAAGCCCAGCTCTCCCTCTGACTGCCCATACTCTGCAAAGAAGCTGGGTGCGAGGAGGAAGGGGTGGCTGAGTTACGAGTTACCAGTAGCCAGAGCCAGGCTGGGGAGAGGGATGCCTGCTGTGGCCCCCTTTGCATCTGGGTTTGGCATCAACAGAGAAGCCAGTGGGGGCAGGCTCCCCTTCCCCTCGGATCCTCACGTCCTACCCCTAGAGACAATTTTGGAAGCTGTCATGTTGAGAAGTCCGGCCCCCTCTTCATTACCCACACGCAGGCACCAGAGCAGGGACTAAGAACCCCAAGGATGGGTCATCCAAATGCTGTTCCCGTGAACCCTAGACCTTTCTGTCCTTGGATCTGCACATGTTTACCTCTGTCCTTCCGGGGGTACATTTCAAACTGAGAAGGCCACAGCATAGGGAAGACCCAAGGAGGGGCTGTGACGCGGTCATGATGCCCAGCCTCCCACCCCCATCTCAGTGGGACAGGACCCCACATCTCAGAGTAAAGCGAAGACCCTCCCCACGCTTCCCTGTCTGGACTTCAGCCTGTACACTGAGGAGTAGCGAGAGGCAGTCTGTGATGTCAGCAGGCAGGTGATGAAGTGAGTGGTGTCAACTGTCACCAACCTGGATGGCGAGCTGCAGCCCACAGACCGAGGCCAGCAAGGCGGACTTCCTGGTTTCAAACTTGCTTATTTCATCAACATTTGCTCAGCCTCTTCCCACTATTTCCAGGGATGTGGGTGCCTGGGTTATGAGACACTGTTGCTGTGTGACAGAGGTTCAGAGTTAGAAGCCAATGAAGGAGGCCTTTCATCAACAAATATCCTATTTATTGGAGACTGACTTTGTGCAAGGCAGTGCCAGTATGTGGTTCTCCACTGAGCCTCCCTCAGATCTTACCTTGCCTCCCTGCATTTACAATAGGGCCTCCTCCCAGAGTGTGCTCGGTGAGCAGCGTGGGACTGGGGGCAGGCACAGCAAGAACCAGAGACTGTCAAAAGGGACCCTTACCTGACCATTTATGGCCCCACCAGACTGACTCTGCACCTGGCTCTTTGCCAGGCAAAGACCTGACTCACTATGTCCTCTGGAGCAACTGGGCATTGGTCCTTGCCATATACAACCCTCAAGTGCCAGTTGTCATGGAGGACCCCCTCCAGAAGCATACTAGAAGCGACCTCTGGAAAGGCCTTGTACAGTCATAAGCCAAAAAATCTATGTCAGTGGCCAAACTACCATGAGACTTACGTCTTTGTGGAAGGCACTGTTACAGACAGCCTTATTTCCAAAGCCACCAGCCTTATTTCCAAGGATCTCACTCAGGAAGGGAGGCTCCATGCAACCTCAGGGGCCAGTTTCAGCATTTGCAATGGTTCTGCTTGGAAAATGATTCCCTGCAACTAACCTTGGTCTTTCTCGCTATGATTTAACCAAATTCTGAAGGCACTTCCTTCAGCTGAACTCACGGACAATGAATGCCAACCTTCAGATTCTGGAAGATTGTTGTCTTCCCAAACCTTTATTCTATTATGATATTGCTATTAATATAATTTTGCTATTGGTGTAACTTGGTCATGAATTTGTGCTGTCATATTCGAGACAATGAATGCCAACCTTCAGATTCTGGAAGATTGTTGTCTTCCCAAACCTTTATTCTATTATGATGTTGCTATTAATATAATTTTGCTATTGGTGTAACTTGGTCATGAATTTGTGCTGTCATATTCGGAGAGCAGATAGAACCTGCACCTTCTGGGCAGAGGAGGTGTGCATGCCACAGCCCTCAGGGGCCCTTGGCCATGGGGATTAGAAGTGATGCAGCTTTCAACCCATCAGCCTGGAAACTAGCAGGCACCAGGTACTTCTGGTTCCTTCACAGAAGTTCTGCAGGTAACAGTCAAAGGCCCACAGTGCTGGGCTCTCGGGAGGCCTAATCACTGTCACAAACAGCTAAATCCGTGATACAAAACAGAACTAATATTATAATCATAACTGCTTACTTGGTCGCAGCCAGTGCTACTACTCCCCAGCAAATCTTTCCTCCCAACTGTCAAGGAGGGAATATATGGTGTCTTTCATTTTGCTTCTAGAGCAAAGCTTAAACTTCCTTTAGTGTAAGATGCTCATAGAGGATGTTAAAAACACGTATTCCCAACCCCCTCCACCCAGCCCCAGAGTCTATTTCTGTGGGTCTGAGGGGAACCCAGGAATGGCACTTTTAAGTGCCCCTCTCGTGCGGCTGAGTGGGTGGCCCTCAAACCCTGCGTGGTGGGCCATCAGTGCAGCAGAGCCCTGGGGATGCCCACTTGTGCTTGGGCTACTGAGAAATGTGTAGACTCCATAGGCTTCCAGTAAATTCACATGTGAGTGACGGGTGTCAAGGTGACTCTGAGTTCCTGATGGCTGCAACAAGGATGAGCAGGCATGAAAAACAACCCAAGAGGTCCCATTTATATTAGGCTCTTACCACACTGAGAGAAGGATTCTCACTCTGCAAGCTTGGCTGTGTGAAAAAAGTCAGTTAATTCTTTAATACAGTTAACTCTGATTTAAAACCCCCATCCTGCTGACTGGCTGGACATTCAACACCAGCCATACTTGGGTCTGGCTCCCAGAGCCATCCAAAGGGTCTTGGGTGACTATGCATGCAAGAGGGACACTGTGGTCTTTGGTCCCTTCCCAATTTGAGGCTTTCTAGTGGCCCTGCCTCCCACCAGTGCCTGGAAACCCTCAAAGGCCAGACCCCAGGGCTAGGGCCACCTGTCTGTGCACACGCACAGCTATGCTCCCCCCACCCCCACCAGTCCTTCCACCACTCCCTCTCCCCACACAATCCAGTCCCTCAAGGACTGGACAAAAAGTCAGGAAAGGAAGAGTCTGCAGGAACCCTTTTATTCCATCCTTCCTTGACCCTCTTGGAAAAGGAGAGGGGAAATGCAGTGATAACCAAACACCATATCTCTATAACGTACCCTTTGGCCCAAAGCCCTCTGGGGTGATCCTCACCACTGCCCCATGATGGACACCAGACTGGTCTTAGGGCCCCATTTGAAGATGAGGCACCTAAAATCAAGGAAGTAACCATTGTGGCTAAATTAATACAAATAAAACCCGGCCAGGCCTGCACTCAAACCAGGCTGGCCAGCCTCTCCCTCTGCTCCAGCCCCATCTCCCTACTGAGTCACTCTAAAGTGGGGGGCGGGGGGAAACTGAAATGGTGGGAGGCCCCTTCTTTTCCCACCGAGGTTCATGGCCCGTGGGAGGAAGGTGGGAGTACCTACTGAGGGCCAGGTAAGGTGGGCATGCGGAGGGAGGTAGGGAGAGCTGGGTAATTTTTCATTTACCCACCTTCCATTCAAGTAGCACCAGAACATCGCAACTATTCATCAAACAGGGCCAATGTAGCCCCAGGAGAGTTGTGCAGAAAAGGGACAAAGAGGGAAAGCCTTTCAGAAGAGGAGGTCCTGAGAACTCTGTACACAGACAAACCTTTGAGGGACACTCCCCATCTGGCGACTGGTTAGCAGATTCTTGCTTAAGAAACAAAGCCATGTTGTGATTTCTTCAACCTCTCTCAATGCTGGAGAGAGACAGTTAAGCTGGGGCCTAAATCCAGTCAGTATCAAACTGATACTAGAATATTAGGTTACAGATTCCCAGAGAGATTGGCAGTGGCTATGTGTGTGTAGAAAAATCCTGTCTTTCCCAACCACAGGAACTACATACCTGGAAGAAATGTCCATCTCCTGATCTCCTGACAATAGCACCAGATTCATTATAACCTTTCATCAGAGATTAAATATGTAAACAGGTCCTGGGCAGGCCCTTGACAAATTGTAAATGACAGGGAGTTTTCCTGCAATGACACACCCCACCTGTTCATCCCTCCCCACCCCACTCCCAGCCCCGCAGTACTGCCACACTACACAGGGTCACCCACTTGCTGAAGTCTCTGCCCCCAGGCACCTGCTCCACCTTGATAACAATAATAATAACTAACGTGCACAAATCTTTACAGTTTATCAGCCATCTATTTATTTAACAAACTCTTTAATCAGTAAATCATTCTGGATAGGCTTGGCCATGGTGGTAACAAACCTCTCCAACTTTGATCACATGACATAACAAAAGCTTATATCTTGCTCACATAAAGTCCACAGCCGGTCTGAGTGACTCTGCAGGGCAGTGGCTTCCAAACAGTGACTCAGTATGGGAAGACTGCTCGGATCCTGAGATACCTCCATTTTGTTACATGCCAAGATCAATGAGGCAGGGAAAGAAAGTCCTGGAAGGTCTTGCACTGGTAAATAATGCTTGGCCTGAAGGAACACATTTGACTCTGCTCCCAGCCCACTGGCAGAACTAGCCACACAGCCCTGCCTAACTGCCATGGGGGTGGGGAAGGATAATTCTGTGTGCTCAGATGAGGGAAAAAGCAGATGTGGATGAGCACTAGAATCCTCCACCATGGGGAACGAACCTGGGCTGACATAGTTGCTCACGGGGAAACTTAAACCAGCTTTGTCAGGCTGCTGGGGGACAGGTGAGGGGGATGGGGGAATATAGTCAGGAGACGTTTCCCAGTGGAGGAAGCATCGGTGTGGGTTCCAGAAAGTGAGATGATTTCCAGGCAAGGCCAAGGGAGCTTGTGGAGGGATGGGGAGATGGGGAAGATCAGCTCAGAAGAGGCAGACATGGGCTGGTGGCTGAGAGACGCAGGGTCAGGCAGAGGCTCTCTTCAGATAGGAAAGATTTGCTAGGCAGAGGGCCAAAGGATGGGAAGGCTGAGGAGCAAAGGAGAGGACAGATGACTGAGCTGGGTCCCCGTATTACTGTGTTTCTGTCGTTTCTGGACCTGGGTGATTTATAAGAAAATGAAATTTACTGCATAACAAAATACCTGGACCTGGGTGATTTATAAGAAAATGAAATTTACTGCTTACAGTTTCAGAGGTTGGGAAGTCCAAAGTCCAGGGAACACACCCGGTGAGGGCCTTGTTGGTGGGTGGTGACTCTTCACAGAGACACAAGGTATCACATGGCAAGAATGGCTGAGCATAGAGAATCTAAGCTTCTCACTCCCTCTCCTTACAAAGCCACCATAACCATGCCCATGACCACCATTAAACCATCAATTTATTACTCCATGGATGGATCACAAGGGCATGGTCCTCACAATCTCATCACCTCTTAAAGGCCCTACCTTTCAATTACTATAATAGGATTTCCCACCCTCTTAAAGCTGCCACAGTGGAGATTAAGTTACGGAACTTAATACGTAACACTTTGGTGGACACATTTCAATCCATAGCTGTCCCTGAGGGGGAGGAGGAGATGAGCTGATTCACAGAGGAGAAATCCCGTCCAGAGCTTCCACCACCCTGTGAGGACAGTATGACTAGTTCCATCCTACAGATGGAGAAAATGAGGCCCTTTCCAATTGTCACTCATGCCTGCCTTCATTTATTCATTTAGTACCTGATGTGTATAAGGACTAAAGATGACAAACATGGTCCCTGCCCTTCAAGGAGGTATAAGTCAGAGCGAGAATAAGACCTAACACGGGGCAAAGTACAAGCTCTATGAGCTCATTCGGCTGAGAGATCAGAGAAGGGGCTTCATCCTGATCTTGAGGGGTGGACTGGATTTCAAGAGAGTCAGAGGTACAGGAGAAGACTTTCCAGGAGCACAAAGGTGAGGAAGCAGGAAAACCTGTGCACATTCTGAGAACCCATCAAGTGGTAAGGCCAGGAGAGGCAGTCAGGTCCAGGCTCAGATGATCCCACAGGGTCATGAGGGCTGGCTTACACCGGGCCACAAGTGATGTCAGGCCCGGTCCTGGTTCCTGGGCTAGTGCTCATACCCACCTCTGCCTGCTCAGGGCCTCAGTGCCCCAACCAAGCAGTCCCGGGAAGGCATTCCTAGCTCAGAGCCTCTGCTGGAGTCTACGCTGGAAGGGGCTCCTGAGAAGGCCAAGCTAGAACTTAATACGTAACACTTTGGTGGACACATTTCAATCCATAGCTTTCCCTGAGGGGGAGGAGGAGATGAGCTGATTCACAGAGGAGAAATCCCGTCCAGAGCTTCCACCACCCTGTGAGGACAGTATGACTAGTTCCATCCTACAGATGGAGAAAATGAGGCCCTTTCCAATNCCTGTGAGGACAGTATGACTAGTTCCATCCTACAGATGGAGAAAATGAGGCCCTTTCCAATTGTCACTCATGCCTGCCTTCATTTATTCATTTAGTACCTGATGTGTATAAGGACTAAAGATGACAAACATGGTCCCTGCCCTTCAAGGAGGTATAAGTCAGAGCGAGAATAAGACCTAACACGGGGCAAAGTACAAGCTCTATGAGCTCATTCGGCTGAGAGATCAGAGAAGGGGCTTCATCCTGATCTTGAGGGGTGGACTGGATTTCAAGAGAGTCAGAGGTACAGGAGAAGACTTTCCAGGAGCACAAAGGTGAGGAAGCAGGAAAACCTGTGCACATTCTGAGAACCCATCAAGTGGTAAGGCCAGGAGAGGCAGTCAGGTCCAGGCTCAGATGATCCCACAGGGTCATGAGGGCTGGCTTACACCGGGCCACAAGTGATGTCAGGCCCGGTCCTGGTTCCTGGGCTAGTGCTCATACCCACCTCTGCCTGCTCAGGGCCTCAGTGCCCCAACCAAGCAGTCCCGGGAAGGCATTCCTAGCTCAGAGCCTCTGCTGGAGTCTACGCTGGAAGGGGCTCCTGAGAAGGCCAAGCTACACCCGGGAGGAGCAGAGGACAGTCCTCTCCCATACTCCCAGCACACTCACAGGAGCCCGCACCTTGCTCACACACACTTGGAGAAATCGCCCATTTCCAGCCTTTCCGTTCTCCAAGGCTGCCCCCGCCCAGGGCCAGGGAGGAGCTGCGCTACCCTTTCCCTTCCTTCCTTTCCGCAGTCTGAGGACTGGCGCTGGGACTCAGGTTCAATCTCAGTGCAGAGTGGGGCAGCTAATTTCAAGGGCTTCTATTCATGCTTCCAATGTGTTATGAACCCCCCATTCTCTTTGCTCTGTGGATCCATCAGTGGGCCTTACACAAGGCACCCTTTTATATCCATAAAATCCTCAGATCCATAAATGTGACCTCAGAGGTCCCAGACAGGGACAAACATTTGTTTAAACCTTCGCCCTCCTTACCCCTCACGACCTCCAGCTTGCTGAAGAGGGGATCGGATGAGGCAGACTGTTGCCTCGGGTCCACACTGGGCGAGGACGAGGCGCCTCACACCGGTCCTCTTTGACCGGAGCTGCCTCACCAGACACACCGAGGTTCCAGATGGCAGTTTCAACGCTCAGAATATACCAGACATCCTAAGTGCTTTACATACATTTGCTCCTTGCGTCTTCACGACAGCTCTGTGAGATGCAACTGGCATGCCATTTTCCAGATGAGGGAACCGGGGCCCGGCTGACTGTGGTCTCAGCTCTTTCCTGTCGCCGAGGTCTGCAGGGAGCGGCGCCTCGGCCCCCCTCCTGCTCCATCCCCCCGCGCCCCGGTGAGCGAGGCAGCATGGCGGGGCCTGAGAGGCGACATGGGCGGGGCCTCCGCCCGGCCTGGATCACAGTCCGCCACCAGGGGGCGCCGCCCCCGCGGCATCTACCTGGCAGTGCGAACCCCCGAGGCACCGCTGCGCGCTGGGCTTGGGACTCCCCAACACCGGCCTGGCGCGCCCCCG